CAGTCTGACTAGCACGTCAGGTAATGAGAATATTGGATAATGGATATGTGTAGAATGAAATAGTATTAAAATGTAGCTAAATTGCCCAGATTGGGCTTGAATTTGTGATCCTCCCACTGCAGCCTCCTAGAATACTTGGATTATAGGTGTGTTCCACCAGCCAGCTACATCTATCATTTTATTTGATATTTTCTATCAGTTCTGAATATTTATATATACACACTAAATTTTGTCTTTTTACTCAGTTTTATCTTTTTTCTCATTTGTTTTGCACTCATGCTCACACACTAGTTGGGAAATAATTCATTATTTCAGTGATCACCTTGGCTATTAAGATATATGTATACACATCCCTTCTTGGCCTTTTAGCTAAGATCAAATGAAGATACATGTACACAGTCTGCCCGTCTCAGCAAATTAGAATCTTTAAGACTATTTAGAAAATACCAGGACCTTTCATTTCAATCAAATGTATTCCATCATCACCATCTTATCTACTATTGATGAATGTTATCAATCCATCTCTTTTTTTTTAACCTCCATAAACATTGTTGTCTGAGAAAGCCAATGGTTATTTAGATTTCCAGATTTCCTACCTCATTCTGTGTATTAACTCTTATTTCTCAGAGCTTTGCTTCTGCTGGAAGTGTCCTGTGATGTTTTGTTTCATCTATTTTTCCTTTTTTGGTACTGGGGATCGACCTTGCACTTGGGAGGCAGGTGGCAAGGCAGGCAGCAGCACCAATGAGCTAAAACCCTGGCCCTTGCGTGTCCTTTTAAAAAGGAGTGGCCCAGAGGTGACACAGTAGCATTCTTGACGCTGCCTGACGCTCTGTGATGAAGACATGCACCCTGTCATGAGGCCATACCACCCATAGGCTCAGGAGCAAGGGGCTTGTCCTGGGCCTACCACTGTGAAGGGTCACACCTTGGTCATACCATTGTTTATGGGCAAGAAGTTCAGGGCCAAAGCGATAGCTCCTCCAAGCCTACTGCCCTCTTTCTCTGGAATTGCCTGCTTAGATAAGTGGTCCCTCCAGTGCACCTCTGCTCAAGTATGCCATGCCATCAGCAAAGTCTCGGGAAGGATTTGGACAGGTGCATGGGCATGTCCACATGGCTGTACACAGATCTCTAGGTGAGCAGGATGAAGCCAGAGATAGGAAAGAAAAGGTGAACACAGACCAAGGTTGAAGCCGGCTTTCCATATGGTATGACACTGCAGAACAGAAATTGAGTCCCCAGATTCTAAATTCAAATCTGGTGTCCCAGGTTATAATGACGCTATTCTTCTGAAGGTAGGAGGAAATAACATATTGACACATTTGCTAGCCTTGGTCACACTTTTTCTTCTTTTTTGGGTAGGGATCAGGGTTGTTGTTGTTTTGAGACAGGCTGGCTTGAACTCGGTGTATAGTCCAGACAAGCCTCAAACTCTTGATCCTCCTGCCCAGCCTCCTGGGCGCTGAAATTATAGGCATTCTGCCAGACTGAGTCACAGTCTTTCAATATTGAAATATTTGGATTTGGGGGCATCCATTTATTCTCCTCCTTGGATCCAGTAAATGTTAGAAGTAAGCCTGATTGCGACCCTATGTCAGTTTACAAAGTGCACGTTTGCTGTGCCCGTTCCCAGGTGTATAAACTGAGACTTAGAAATATTCAGCAGCTTTCTGGGACCCCATGCCAAGATTCAATACAAACAGAATTCTCAAAGTGGGATTCCCAACCAGCAGCAGCAGGAGCGTCTGAAAACTTGTCAGAAATGTGGATTCTTGGGGCTGGTAGTATGTAGCTCAGGGATAGTGTCCTTGGCATGCACAAGGCCCTGGATTCAATCTTCAGCGTCAAAAAGGGCAGGGGGAGGAAGAGGAAAATAAATGTAGTCTTATTAGGTTAGAAATTGAGTCACAGCCCAGCAAGTCATGTCACTAGACCCATAACAGATGATCAGATGCAGTTCTATTGCCCGGGCCTAGTTCCCTGGGCCAAGACCTGAGCTCTGGCCATATATGCAGATGAATGCAGTGTGTACCTTTATCCCAAGGGTCCTCTCCTCTCCTGTGAGAAGTGTTCCGTCAAATACCCGGTCTCTATCTATCAAGCTCTTCCTGCTCCTCACTACAGCCCTCCACTCCTCTCCCTTGTGCAAATGCTGTTCTCTGCCCCTTCTCAGCCAAGCTTTAAGAAATGTCTTCCACAGCCTTTGCCCACATACTTCATAGCCCTGCACCCAAAACAACAGAATCAGTATACTCCTGGTTACCATACTCACTGGCTTCTTGGTCCTTTTTTCAGGAGTCTGTTCTGTGGTACTTCACAATGTCTCTTAATCTCTTGTGACAGAAGCCTCCCTGGACCTTCACCCACAGAATCTGGTCACTCCTTGATCATCCTCTGCATGCTCTTCTCTTCTCTGAATGACTGGATATCTTGGGCTCCCAATTTACTTCATTTTCCTTATTCTCCCCTCTGTATCCTGCCACCCTTGAATTTATTCTCATTGACACCCGCCCCCGGACTTCAACTGCCATTTTATATGCCAGGAACTTTGCTTCCAAGAATGGAGTCTTAGCCGGGCGTGGTGGCACATGCCTGTAATCCCAACATTCAGGAGGCTGAGGCAGGAGGATCTCTGTGAGTTTGAGACTAGCCTGGGCTACACAGTGAGTTCCAGAGCAGTCTGAACTACGTAGTGAGACCCTGTCTCAAAAAACAACAACAACCAACAACAACAACAACAACAACAACAACAAAACAACCCAAAAAAGAATGGAGTCCTTGGGAAGGGGAGGAGGGGGTGAAGGGAGGGCAGAGGTAAGGGGAAAAAATGAGAATCAAGACTTGCCATGTAGAGGTACATGATCCCAACAATGAATGTAACTGTACTGTATCCCTAAAATGTACCAATAAACTCAATAAAATTAATAAATTAAAAAAAATGGAGTCTTTCCAGAATTTTCTCATCCTCTGGAAATCCCAAGGGAAATGGGTATGCCTTGCACCCTCAAGGAGTGGGCTATCACTCCAATTTGGTTCTGGGCCCAGCTGCAGCGCAGCAGGTTGGGTAGGGGCACATGGCTGCAGCATGACCTACACTTACAACCAAGAGAACACCAGATTCCTGAAAAGTAAGAACTTGGCCCCTGCATAAATGAGGTGGTTAGGACACAACAAAGTAGAGCTAAAGGACAATTGGGGACTTTGAATAGCCGATGATACTGTTACAGATCCTAAAATATGAGCTGTGTGGATTTGATACTTGTATGTAGTTCATTAATCCCTTAAAGTTGCTACCAAAAGCAAACTCAGAAATCACTCTACCCTAAGGGGACAGATAACAAAGTAACATGGTGTAGGGGAGGAGGATAAAGTAATAACATGGGAAACAATAACCCACGGGGACAAAGAAGATATAAAGGAGAAATCTGAGGATCCCCGAAGACTCCCCCTTGTGTGGGAACCAAGAGTGAGGGGGAACAGATCCCAAGCTTGCTTAGTTCCACCTGCTCTTCCTGTCTGGGATAGGGTGAAAGGCAGGAAATAATCCCACTTCTCAGGGACTCTTGCCTGTATCTGTTAAGATCCCTGGGGCCCCCTTATCCACTGTGCTCAGATTGGCACGGGGCATTGACCCTGGGCTGCTAGCACCAGCCAGGTAGGTACCCCAAGGCATTTAGTGAGCCGCCGAGACGGGATCCTGAAGGCTAATCCAAGCCATGGGAGAGGGGAGAACCTCGGAACCTGGGCCCAGGAAACTGTTCCACCTGTTCCCTAGACAGAAAGTCTCACGAAGAGGTGGAACGTCACGCACCCTGGCTAATACGAGTGAACACATCAGACGGCTCAGCCTCATCACACTGCAGGTGGCTGGCAGCAGTCAGTAACATGGGAAGCTGGGGACAGACGGACAGCATGTGGTCAAGGCGAAGGTAAGGGTTTGCCCAGTGGGTCCAGAGCGAATCACATTTCACAAAAAGGAGTCAAGCCCGCTTAAACTGAAGTCTCGGCCTCCGAACTCTGAGCAACACCGTCCGCGCCAGGATCTCCAAGCCGAGTCTCCGCCGAAAGCACGAGGGAGGGGGAACCCGCCTGGCAGGAGGAATGTGGGGGTCGGGCCCGGGTTCCGCCGCGCGCAGGTCGGGGTCGGGTGCACTCACGTCAGGTATTGTCAGTCCGGGGCTCCGCTGGGATGAGGAGGAGTTCTCTCCATGGTTCCGCCCCCCGGGTGCTCAGGCTCGGCTCGGCTCTGCACACCCACCCTAGCCTCACCCCATAGGTTCCCAGCTCAGCTGGGGAGGCAGGGCGGCAGCTGGGATTCGGCTAATAGAGGGCCCGCGTTCGAATTCGCGTCCTGGAGCAGCCAATCGCAGGAGGCCGTGGCTGGTGGGGGCAAAGGGAGGGGCCCCGCGCTGGCCAACTGGAGCGCCCGGACCATTTGAAAACGAGGCGGGGGCGGGCGG